TTCCTGACTCCCGCATGCAGTTTTTTAAGAACCATGTTGGCAGTGGGAATGCCGTCTTCCCGGGACTGCCCCTTAACGATAATAGAGAGGTCGTCCGCATACATGTCTGCTGTGACACCCGCAAAGCTGTTCAGCAGATTGAGAAGTGGGTGTACGTAAAGGGAGAACAAATATGGTCCCAGTACGGACCCCTGAGGAACTCCTCGCAGCATGGGACGCCGATCACTGTTTCTGTTACCAACTCGTGTCTTCGCGTAGCGACCACATAGAAAGTTTCTAAGCCACCTTCTACAATTCACCCCCGGAATATTAGCCAGTAAGCGACTGAGGACTCGATGATCTATGGAGTCAAAAGCCTTGCTGAAATCAACCAACACCAGCAGAGTCCGATGGGGTCTGTAGTGGAGTTGATTACCAATACCGTTCTTCTTTGGAAGGTTCACTTGGAAATAATGATTTCTATTATGCTCCACTTCGTGTATCAGGTGTGCCAGCTGCATCGTCGTGGTGCGCATACTACGATATGCATACTGGTGGGGGTGAGGCGTCCACACCCAAAGCAATCTCTTCAGTACCATTTCCTCAGCAACCTTACTCACAATGGAAGTAGGGCTGATGGGTCGATAAAACTCAGGCAGTTCCGGCGACTTACCGGGTTTTAAGAGTGGGACGATGGTAGCGCGTCTCCACTCAGCCGGGATCGTACCTGTCGTCCAGCTGTGGTTAATGCAACGAAGAAGGAATCGAAGACCCTTTGACGAAATATGTCGCAGTGCCTCACTGTAGACTTCATCCGGTCCGGGGGCCTTGCCATACGGCGTATTACGTAGCGCAGCAAGCAGTTCCGTACGATTAAAAGGTGCATCAAGAGGGGAGTGAAGATGAGCAACTAAACCAGATGTGGTGGCAGCTTCGCTGTTATCCTGTGGCTCTGAATTAGATGAGAATGAAAAAACTGAATTAGATGTAGCGGCAGACTCGTAGTTGTTCTGCGGCTCAGAGCTAGAAGAAGTAGAAGAAAATGAAGTAAATGAGGCAGCAGACTCGTTGTTGTTCTGCTGCCCAAAAAGAGAAGAAGAAACAATGCCCAAAGATGGGTTCTGTCTTTTGATGCCTTTGGAAAACCTTACTGCCTTGTGAGAGGGGTGAAGTGGAAAAAAGATACGATTGAGAGCATTCGCTGCTCTCCTTGCTGTTTTATAAGTGTGTTGACCATCTCCCAACAACAATGATGTAGGAGGTGGAAGTGATGCCTTTTTTCGTCCGGAAATGTGTTTCCATGCAAGTGGCTCGCCTGGATTTAACTTGCTGATGCGACGTAGATACGTGTTGCGCAAGCGCTCTCGGAGTAGGAGGAAGAATTGACTCCTTGTCCGTTGCATTTCTGCCTCACGGTCGGGCGTCGGTAACTGTAGATAGCGGGCCTTGCTGTCGGTAGCAATCCGCTCTGCCTCCATGAGAGTGTCGTCCCAAAGCCTGGGACCATCCTTGTGCATGCCGCGGGGGCAATGTCGTCGATACGAAGTAATAAGCGCTCTCGTGAAAGCTTTAATGCCGGTGGACTGCTTTTTATAGTCATATGCCGGAAGTTGTGCGTCGAAGTCCTTGATGAATAAATCCCATTTGCACTTCCCCCAACTGTAGGATGTCTTAGGTGCCGAAGGTATGGTATCCTTAAATGCCTGATGCAGTGTAAATGTTAGCATATAATGATCACTAAGCGGCGACACAGAAGCTGACCAATCTGACACAGTCAAATGCTTTGACCATGTCAGATCGATACAGGATCGTTCTCTTTTGCCACGAGCATACGTGATCTCACCAGGGGTGTTAACCAAGGTGAGTCCCGCATCCGTGCACAGCTCTAAAAACTCTGCAGCAACCTCGCTTGGAGAAGACTCCAAGAATGGCTCCCACTGTGGGTGATGCATGTTGAAATCCCCACACAGCAGGAGCGGCGACGAGGCTGGAAGGCAGTTTACTAACCGCCTGAAGGATTGCGATATTTGCGGTGGTCGTCTTTTTTCTTTTTACTCTTACCAGTCGTAATAACTACACCTCAAATGTACAGCTCTGGTAGGCGTACGATGCAATTCAGCAGCAAGGATAACCTTACCCCGCGGGCAGCCATTACAAATGGCTCCAACATCTGCCCTTCCGGCCCGTAAAACTAATTAGCAACTACTTGTCGAGTTTGAAGCGTGAACAGCAGACACTTAGCTTTCTTCTTAGTAAGAGTGCTAGACCCTGGCACCACGTTAGGGTGGCTAGCTGCGCCACGGGAGTGCTCATGTAGAACCGAATCCCACTATCTCGTGTCAGCCGTCGTTTCCGCCGCTTAGTGACAACGCATCTCAGACAGCTTCCCCTGGCACGAACGATGAAGGTGATGATCGACCCGACAGTAATGACGAGGACAGCAACATGAAGCACCGCCGTACCCTCACCGGCCAAAGACACCAATACGCATGACGAAGGCAGTGCGGACAGCAGAGAAATCATCACTGCGTGGGTGCACACACCGCTACTTTTGCCGCTTATGGTCGCCGTTGCCTGTGCTGCTGGGCAGTGATGTGGAACAACCTCTTACACATCGTGGAAGACACGAGTCGTGCTCTGTGTTTGTCTGCTTCTTTTTTTCGCCGCCCCGGGAGCCATCCTCTCACCATATCTGAGAAGTGCTCCTCTTTCTTCTTGCTGTTTTTTTATTTTGCTTAGCCACTTCATGCACATTCTCTTAAGTAATATGTTTCCTCCTTTTGTTTGCCTTTGTTTTTGCCCACACGCGGTGCCAGCCCTTCGGCTGTGCGTCCCACGGACTGCACGAAAGGAGGAGTGGAGGAGCAGGCCGGATGCCGCATGAAATGTGAGGGATGTTGTGTGGGCTGGTGGAACAGCGCGATCTTTTTTTATTTGTTTTTTTTTCTTGGTGAAGGCATTATGTATACAGAAACACATGGTCGTTTTTTGCTGCATGGCACATGTAATAAAAGACCTGCTGAATCAATTTTCACTAATTTTTTCTCCTTTTACTTTTTGGATTTCTTCTAGACTTTCACGTTTCTTGTTTTTTGTTTTTTTTTACCCCTTTTGGTAAGTCCCTGCGGCCCGTTTTATTATGTACCGTGCCTACTTCCACTGGGCGCTTCTCCGTGTCCCTTTTATTATCCCTCTGCTGGCTGTGATGTTGAAATGCTCCCACAACTTTTTCTTTTCTTCTAGAGGCACCGATGGTCCGCGACGACGATTGTTTTTGTTCCCCATTGCGAGGGCACGAGGGTGACTGGGCTCCGGCCTGTTGATTGCTCTCGGAATTCAGCGGATGGTGTGCGCCGTGCCCCACTGTGAGTCGCGATGTCAATTTGTCAGGGCGGAGAGAGCTAAAGGGTTGCGGTGTGTAACTGGACGCGCCCCGTCCCTCTCGTTGCAGCCGTGTGTGTGTTGTGCGCAAGGCTTTTTGTTGCGGTGCGACGTGGATGGCGTTGCTGCTGCGTGTGTCCTCGTGCGTGCGCTGAGCGGTGAGGTTCCCATCCCCATGTCTTTGGCCTTGTGTGTGGGCGAGTGGAAGGGGCGGGGGGAAGTGTGGGGAGCTGAGCGTGGGTGGCTACCAACCCCGCCCCGCACATTGGAGAATTTTACGCGCATGGTAGTTCTTGACAGCCTCTCGCAGCACCCAGGCCGTGGATTGAGAGGATTTGAGGGTCTGCTCCAACCCAAAGGAGGTTGACGAGATGCATTTCATGACGGCCAACCTGATCCGCGGGTGGTTCCAGCGCATGGAGCACGTGCGCAAGTACGCGTTCGGCGTTGCACTCATCATTGGGGAGAAGAGGCGGCACGAAATTGTGGCACTGTGTGTGTTGCGCGGCCGGGGCATGCCGGCGATTGTGAGGGACGTGGAGGACACGGAGCTGTTTGACTGAGAGGAAGTGGACGTTGCGGCGCAGCGGGAGCGCATGAGGGACTGCCTGTGGTGGAGGGCCCGACGATCCCGAGGCCTGTGCTGGAGGGGCGCGTGTTGAAGTGAGCGTGGCGTGCCTGTGAGGGCCTGAGGGGATAGAATAACAGTAATGGTGACTGTGGGAGTGTGAGGAAGGGTGCAAGGGCGAGGAGCACTCCTTTTCTTTTTTTTTCTTTTGTTGAACCACGCCCACCCAATTGTTGTTGTGGCGGTGCGTGACTCTTATTTCTGGATGGGACGGTGCGTGGTTGTGTGACTTGTCTCTCCCTTGCTTTTGCTCTGCGTTTACGAGGAGTTAGTTTGTGCTAAAGGCTGCACGCAAGTGACAGGAGTGATTATGATGATGACTGGCCGTGTGCTGCTGGTGTGTGCCCTCTGCGTGCTGTGGTGCGGTGCCGACGAGATTTACGCTGAAGGAGATTTGGAAGGTCCGCCTGCTGCACTTTCGCCTGGTCTGGCGCCAAGTTCTCCTGGTGATGTTGGCTCATTGGACAACACTGGAAGTTTGGCCGGACATGGGGTTGGGGTTGGCAGAAGTGAACCGTTGGAAAATGCAGTGAGTGGTGGTGACGTCTCTGAGGACTTGTTGAATTCTAACAATGATGATGAAGAGTCATGTAGTGCGGATGAAGAGTCGGGTTGTGGGAGCGAAGACGGACATCGTAGGCAAGAAAACCGTGATGAGGTAGCCGAAGATGAAGTTCGAATTATACCTCAGACCGATCAATCAGAAATAACACCAAAGGGTCCACAAATACCGGCAAGGGAAGACAATGCAGCACAACTGCAACAGAAACAGCCACCACAAGGAGTGCATCGAACTTCAGCAGCACATGAACGAGCTCAAGATGCTAGTGAATTGCGCACGCCCCTAAGCAAGAATTTATCACAGCAGAAAACGGGGGCAGTCTCATCCCAATTTGCGATACATACACCAACGGACAATGAAGAAGGTAAAATTCCATCCCCTCCGCCCAAGAGTGGCAGTGATACGTCCAACAGTCCTGAGCAGCTTGTTGCCGCAAAAAAAGAACGAGGAAATCAACGTGAGGGCGCCGATGATAGTCCAACAGAGAGTAAGGAGGATAAAAATCCACCAGCAACCACAAGAAAAACTGATGCGGAGAATACACACAGCAGCGTCAGCAGCTCTGCAGCAGACACGACCCCGAAGCCTGACGCTGTCACAGAAGAGAATCCGCCCGCCACTGATTCGAGCCGAACATCCAGTGAGGATGCCGAACAGCTCACAGCTATTCCCAATCCTGAAGACGCATCAGACAGCACAGAGAATGCAGCCACTCAGAGTGCAGGATCAGCAAACAAAACAAATGATACGGCGAAGACTGCCGAAAGCGACAGTGACAGCAGCACCGCGGTCTCCCACACCACCTCCCCTCTTTTGCTTCTTCTTCTTGTGCCTGCGGCTGCTGCTGCGGTGGTGGCCGCGTGAGAGTGAGGGAGAGAGTGCCGTGCACCGCCCGCACACACACTCGTCCTTCTCTCACTCTCTGTGTGTGTGTCCCCTTGCATGGACTCTCGCCCTCACCTCATCCCACGAAGCACACACATAATGTGCCCATTGTATATATGAATGCACACCCATGCAGGCCCGTTGGTGCTCTCTTTTGCACCACACGCACCGCTGCCGTCCTGCCTGGCTGCATGGGCGGAGCACCGTAACTGTTTCTGTTTTGTTTCCATTGCATTGAGTGGGCGACCTCTCTCTCTCTCTCCCTGTGTGTGTGTTTTGCTTTACGGGAGCAATGAGAGTGTGTGCGCTGGTCGTCCCACGCTTCGGCTTTTTGTTTTGTTTTTCATTGTTTTGTGGTTGAGTGCTCCCTTTCCGCGGGCTGCGTGTGTGTGTTTGTGTGTGATGATATGAGTAGTTTGCTTGTGTGCTATCTGCCTCTCTCTGCCGTTGCTTTCTTCTGACTCTCTTGTGGCGCACAGCTGCTCTGCAATTATAGGCGCTGCCAAACACACAAGCACATGCACACACATGCCGTGTTTAAAACGCTGAGAATGCACGCACGCACAGGATTCTGGCTGCGACGTCCCTTGCGAGGAGGGAGGACGGGAGCCTGCGATTTATTTTTTGACACGTTGCAGGCGTGTAGTCGATTGGGTGGTGTGGTTTAGGGTGCCTGGGACAAGTGCGGATTGCTTCTCGTCCAGCAGCTGCACGTGCCAATGTGTATCTCCCATGCTGAGTATACTTTGGTCAGGGATTCTTTGCCTGCGTGGGTGATGTGCGCTGGCGGATGCGCTGGAAGGGTGAACAGTAAAATGACTGGCGACAGCGCGTGGGCTTTGCAAAGGACGGTTGTGCTCTTGCATCCCGCTGGGTTTTTTTTGTGTGTGTTGGTGTTTCTCGGTGTGTGCTGACGCATGGAAGAATCACCTGCCGTAGCTTCTTCTGCTGGTGGTGGCAGCTGCTGTGTGTTCCCGGTGCACTGTTATTCCTTCTCTTGTTCCGTGTGTCTGTGTGCGTGAGTTGTTGTTGTAGGGAGTGACTGCGGCGGGGATGGTGATGCCACTCACTGTGGATGGGTGAGGGTGTTTACTGTTTCATTCCTTTTCTATTCATGTTTTCTCTCTGTTTCTATCTCCCAATAACAAATGAAGGAAGACAAGCGCTAATCGCCACCGTGAAATTCGAGGGCTCTGAAAGGACCAACAACACACACACCGTCCACACATATTTCTATGCTCTCACGTGTTGCTGCAGTGAAGGCACCCCGCACACACAACCGTCGCCGCGTGACCGGATCCAGCGGAAGGAGGAGGGAAGGAAGAGAGAGTGAGCGGCAGAGGCCCAACATGTCCCGGCATGTGTTTACTTTTGCTGTGCTGCTCCTCCTCGTCGCAGTGATGATGTGCTGCGGCAGTGGAGGTGCACAAGCTGGTGTGGAGGAACCGTCGTCTGATCCGAATTTTGAATGGAACGGCATCAGTGAGGGTAAAGGTGATGTAACTGTGGAGTCGTTTGGAATTCCCGGCCTTCTAAACGTGGGGAGTGGCGTATTTGCCGTTGCCGAGGCGCGGTGCAAGAAGAATGATGGAGAAGATACCTTTACTGGCATTGCATCCCAACTTCTCAGGATAAAAGACGATAACGAACCAATGGAAGTGCTAAAGGATGCCAAAGATAAGACACAATTCCTGGAGAAATGCCATTCCACAAGCGCAAAAAAGAGAGTAGATGTGAGCCGACCAACAACGGTTGTGAAGGAAAGTGATATTTACATGCTTGTTGGGCAATACAGCCGGACAGCTGTTGCTGGTGCTCGGGAGAGTGATGCAGATGAATGGGGACTGTTGCTGGTGAAAGGGGAAGTCAGTGGTGAAGAAGAAAGTAACAAACAAATTGACTGGAAAGATACCAACGCTGTCCCGAAGACACCTTTAGGCGAACAACTTTCATCCTTGACACGGCTGATTGGAGGCGGTGGATCGGGTGTCAAGTTGAAGGACGGTACACTTGTGTTTCCGCTGGAAGGCACGAAGAAGGATGATGAAATAGAAGAGGATGGAAAGACAAAAACCATTTCTTTGGTACTATACTTGCAGGATACTAATAGTTGGAAGCTGTCGAAGGGGATGTCTGCCGATGGCTGCAGTGATCCCTCCGTCGTGGAGTGGGAGAAGGAGGGCAAACTCATGATGATGACAGCGTGTGATGATGGCCGCCGCAGGGTGTACGAGTCCGGCGACAAGGGGAATACGTGGACGGAGGCAGTCGGGACGCTCTCGCACGTGTGGGGCAACAAAAAACGGGACGGAGAAGGGAAGGCCGTTAGGAGCGGGTTCATCACAGCGACTTTTGGCACTGGAGATGATGGGAAAAATGTGATGCTCGTTACTCTGCCGGTGTATGCCAAAGAAAACAAAAAGAAAAAGAGAGGGGCGACTCC